ATGCTCCACTTTAGTATCTTGAACAATTATTTGTAAGAGGACAATATGTAAACATCAACTAGTGATTTCTTACTGTTTATTTTTTCTTTGAAATTATGTATTATTTCTACCCGTTTTCTGTTTTGTTTAGTGTTTCTTTAAATAAAATTAAAATAAAAAAGACATTATAGTACCCAGTGCTGATCCCGGGGTGTCATGATGTGAAGTCCAGCAATACTATTATTCTTTGTTCAGAATGATTTTAACCTGCCTTAGTTTGTTTAATCTCAACATAATTTAAGACATGGATAACAGCATGTATGTTTAAGTGCATAGGATTGATAACCATATTACTAAGTTTTTGTTGTATAGTTGTACAGAACTGCTTGCAGTCTCTCTGTTTGAATTCCCACTTTATATGTCCCACTTTTGTATCTTGAATAACTATTTGTAAAAGGACATTATGTAAACAATAACTAGTGATTTCTTACAGCTTATTTTTCTCTGAATATATGTATTATTTCTACTCATTTTCTGTTTTGTTTAGTGTTTCTTTAAATAAAATTTAAAAATTAAAAAAATATTTCAATTAAACAGATTTTCTTTTTCAGTGAATTCTAAGAGCCTCAAGCAACACAATAACTTTTACTTACTAACTTATATTCAATATAATTGTCAGCAAACGTATTAATAAAGCTTCCGAAGTATAGTAATACATGCAATCATACAGTGGACTCTAGAAAATGTTTAGTCTTTTATGTTGTGACTCATATTTCTAACTCCTTTCTTTGTTTCCTATGATTTTGGGTTTAGAATTAGATTTTAGTGTATTCAAATCCAGCACTTGGTAATGGATGATAAAAGCAAAGTCAGATACTCTATATCTAATGAACTATAAGTAGATTGAGAACCAGAGTTTATCAGCTCTTTGAGAAATTTCAAGTGTGTGCCTTCCGTTTTCTTCCATAACCATATCTCCCAGTCTTACTGTGTGTGGGGTAGAGGTCTGAGTTTGCCTTTTGCTCTTTCGTCTTGACAGTCTTCTGGGTTCCTCCAACAATCTCAAAGAATAGCAACTGAAATAAAGAAACAACAATCTGGCCTCCCTTAGGCAGTGTAGGGGGATGGGACAGGCACCTGGGTTCCTCTAATTCCAGATTTACAGTGAGGCAGCAGGGTGTAGAATGTGCTTCTCCAGAGCTATGCAGCTACACTGGGGCTTCACTGACAATCAGGGGTGCATGTAGGTGGGGCTGCTTCTATAAGCCTGTGTGTCTATACTGGGACTCCAATGATGGTTGCAAGACACACGAGTGTGTTTCTCTGATTCTGCTAGTGGGTGATGGCTGTCTGAAGGAACCAAAGGCCTCAAATGGTGCCCTACAGATACACAGGGCTTACCTGGCTGTGTGGCCCTGCATGTGCTGGCTGTCTGTAGGAAGGAGCCTTCTGCTGACAGCTCCCTGAAGGGGAAGTGGATCTGCTGGTTCTCTCTGCCCAAAATGGCCTCTTGTAGGACATGGTCTTTTGGTGGAAGCACACAGCAGAAGAGGTGAATCTGTCTGTCTCTTTCATCCTGAACTGGGCATGTGGAGGAAAGGGCTTTCCAGTGGGGACACATGGCAAGCAGAGGTGGATCTTCTGGCTCTCTCTGCCTGCGTTGGGCATGCAGAAGAAAGGGCCTTCAGGTGATGGCACCTGGCAGACAGAGGCAGTTCACCTGGTTATCTCTGCCCGTGCTGGGTGCACAGATGAAAGGGCCTTCTGGAAGCTGCACTGGCAGGCAGAGGCAGATCTTCTTGTTCTCTCTGCCCATGCTGGGCGCATAGAGGAAAAGGTCTTCTGGTGGTGATGCCCAGAAGGCAGAGGAAGATCTCCTTGTTTTCTCTGCCTGCCCTGGGCACACAGAGGAAAGAGTCTTCTGGTAGCAGTGCCAGGTATTCAGAGGCAGATCACCTGGTTCTCTCTGCCTGCACTGGGTGTGCAAGGGAAAGGACCTTTTGGTGGAGACACCCAGCAGGCAGAGGACTCTAAAGTCTTTTTTAAATTTTAATTAATTTATTTTTTTCTTTGAGATAGAGTCTTTCTGTTGCTTAGGTGCTCAGGCTATGAAGTCTCCTCTGAAATTCAATGCAAACTCAGCTGCAAGCACCAGTTAAAGTCAAAATAAAACTAGATAGTCCGCATATACTAGATATTCCTCATATGTTCCCCAATACAATACAATTCCCCATATACAATTCCCCATATTACAGTGGCATAGAGTAAACTCAACCACTACAAAAGAAAGAACAAGAGGATCCCTAGGGATATATCTCAGTGGCACAGAGCCTGCCTTGCAAGCACACGTTCTGAGTTCAATTCTCAATACTCTCTCCCCCTCTCACAATAAAGTAAAGGGCATAACAAGGAATTGGACCTAAGCAAGACCCAAACCCAGCTGAGTTTTCATATAAGCTTTTTATAGATCCAATCTCTCAGTTTTAAACATCTTGTGGTTTCTATCATAGGCTATCATACTACCCCAGGTGAGAGCTTCTGGAAACACTCTGGATATAGTGATACATGTCCATGTTCCCAACTATGAGGAGGCACATGCAAGAGATCATGAGGTATAGGCCAGGATGGATCATTCAGTGAGGTTTTGAGTTAGAATAAATTGGGGGAAATGTAACTCAGCAACTACAAGATTCAATCTCCCAGACGACAAAACAAACAAAGACAAAGCACAGCAAAGATGTGCACCATATTTCATGCCAAATTTCATGCCAAAGTAATGTGTATACATTCTATATAACACACATACATACATAATTTAATCACATTGCCTAAATTAAATATTTTAGGACCTTTCTACACAGTATTACATTCTTAAATATTACCCGATTTTACATATGCTGTTTTTTTCTTCAATAAAACTTGTTTGAAACTTACAGAGATAGAGTGAGACTCAGAGAGATCCACAGGTGGAAGAGATATCTCACTCATGTGTTAATTGCAGCAGTATTTACCATACTCAAGATATGAAGCTAATCAGGGTGCAGTATGTATATATACTAATTCCCCAAACGGAATGTAATTACTATGTATCACAAATAAATACTAATAAGTTTTAAAATATAAAGGAATCAAACTAGAGGCCTGTTCATGGATTAATGGAGAAAGACTACGTGGTACACACGTGTGACAAAGGTTATTGAAATAAAAGGAAAATAAAGTGTTATTTGCAGAAACATTGACTGAGCTGGAGGACAATACACTGAAGTGAAAGAAGCTGGGCACAGAAAGAATAATACTTCAGGATTTCATCTACATGTCAAAATTAAACGTTGATCTTTTAGTACTAAAAAATAGAACCATTGTATCAGAGCCATGAAATGGTGTGAACCAGTGAGATTAAGAAAGAGGATAGTGAAAGGATAAATTAATACAATTGGATAGAGAATACAATGACCAATGTTGTATTACTAGACGTATTTCTCGTAGCAGGATCCCTGTGAATGACAATAATTTATGAAAATTTTGTAACAACTATTAAAAAGGATTTCAAAGAAATAAGTATCTAAGCTGATATATATGCTATTTATCACAAACTGATCCTTATAATTTGTATTTATTAGATAAATCATTCTATAATTGTGCGATTCCTGTGCTAATTATGATGGATAGATGTGTAATTTTCTTAAATATTGCATAAGATAATGGTGATTAATTTTAGTTGTTTATCTGGTGACCTCAAGAGGATTGAGGAGATTGCCTCTTGGGTCCTCTCCAAGGCTGTAAATACACATATAAAAAGCGGGTATCACCCTCAGTCAAGAGATATCATAATTCCACCATCAATAGGGTTGTTCAAAGATTCAAAGGTAATATTGACATTAATTTCAATCATAAAAACAACTTTAGAGTATAAAAATTACTTCTTTAGAAATGGAATATTGTTAATATAATGATGTTTTGTTTGACTTTCAAAAATTTAGTTTTTTTGAAAAAATTTTCCTAAGTATCTTTCTACTGTGTTTTATCTTTATTTTATTTTCTGGAATATCTTTGGGAGATTTATAACAGCACTAGACTGCTTTCTGTAGGCTTAAAATAGTATTTGATTTGCAATGTATCAACTCTTTTAACTGTCCTACTAACTTGTGTTGTAACTTGGTTTCAATGTTTATCTTTTTTTCTCCCTAAAGGAGAATTTTAAAAAGAAAATGTGATCATTAATAAGGAAATTTTGTACACATTTAGACTTAGAAAAACTTTTATCAGATTTTGGCAGTGGTTAAACAGATGCAAGGCTAGCAATCTGAGGGTCAAGAATCTGTACATAGAAATGTAGAACATTCTGCGTTAGTGGGTCATTGGAAAAGCCGATGTATCTCTGGCTTCTGCTTTGTAATCTCAGAAATAAAGAAGTAAATTATATAAAATATTTATTCTTAGTTTATTATTATTTGAGAAATATGAAAGGATAATAAAACATATGAGTAGAAAAAATTGATTTGTTTTAAAATCAGATATACAAGGCCAAACAGGTATACTGATTAAAATCCAACATATAATTATAGTAAAATATTTATTTTTATGGCAGTTAATACTTAATGTCACTAAATGATTATGTAAAACATTGTTTAGACAGTTAATTGTAATACTGATAGATATATTGAGATAAACCATAATCACTTGAGAATATATAATGAACTGATGAAAGACAGCTGAAAAGTATGAGAAAAATTAAATTTAAATGAAATAAATGTCATAAATGCACTTGGTACATATGTAAGAACAAAAAGGACAGTTGAGATTTTAAAATTTAATTACTTGCATATGTTACAAAAATGTGCAATTGCTGGTATTTAAAATGTAACCAATATATTATATCTTTTATAGAAACTAGGTAGTTCCTGAAAGATATTTTCATCATTCTCTAGATTTTTTAAGGGAAGTAAAATAGGTATTGTATGTCTTCATGTACCTCCTTTTCTGTCTCAGCACTAAATGTGAGACCCTGACACACCCAAACCATGCTGCTATCATATACAAACCAAAGTGGAGTGATGTTCATCCTCTTGGGCTTCTCTGAATACCCAAAACTGCAAGTACCACTCTTCCTGATTTTTATGGGCATCTACATTGTCACCGTGGTAGGGAATACTGGGATGATTGTTATAGTCAAACTGAACCCCAAACTGCACACTCCCATGTATTTTTTCCTCAGTCATCTCTCATTCGTGGACTTCTGCTACTCCTCCATCATTGTTCCCAAGATGCTGGTGAACCTAATTGCAAGGGACAGAACCATTTCATTTTCAGGATGCATAGCACAGTATTTTTTCTTCGGCATCTTTGTTATAACAGAAGCATTTTTGTTAGCAGCGATGGCCTATGACCGCTTTGTGGCCATCTGTAGCCCTCTTCTCTACACAGTTGCCATGTCTCAGAAACTCTGTGCCATGCTGGTGGTGGGGTCATATTCCTGGGGTGTAGCTTGCTCCTTGACACTGACATGCTCCACCTTGCAGTTGTCTTTTTATGATTTCAACATCATTGATCACTTTTTCTGTGAGCTCTCCTCACTGCTCTCCCTCTCTTGCTCAGATACTTACATTAATCAATTACTCTTGCTCATTTTTTCTACATTTAATGCAGTTGGCACACTGTTCATCATTCTCTTCTCTTATTCATTCATAGTTGTCACCATCATCAAAATGCATTCAGCAAGTGGGCGCCGCAAGGCTTTCGCCACTTGCGCCTCCCACCTGATGGCCATTGCCATCTTCTATGGTACCATCCTGTTCCTCTACTGTGTGCCCAATTCCAGGAACTCCAGGCACACAATCAGAGTGGGCTCCGTGTTTTACACAGTGGTGATCCCTATGCTGAACCCCCTGATCTACAGTCTGAGAAATAAGGATGTGAAAAACATGGTCCACAAATTAATGGACATTAAGTTCCTTCCTTACTGAGCATGGGATTTCAGTTCATTTTGGCTCTGATGTACATGTCTTTTTCATAAAGGTTGACTTAAGGACACTATTAAAATTAAATGTTAATTTTAGTTAAACAAAAAAAGACTTTACTACCAACATAGTAAGTTTGGCTCTGTCTTTTACTTGTAGCAAACATCAGTAATTCTGTTGATATTTAATCTTTTATCTACAGATTTGCTATAACAGCTTAGTTTACAATGTGATTGTGAAGTTAACAAAATAATTTTCAAGGTACTTGAGGTTGACTAGGCTTTCAAAATGGAATTATATGTTACAAATGTAGGTATATAGGACAGATATAATTCTCCCATTGCATGTTGTGAAATCCACTGTTGATGGAAAGATAAAAAGGACCTGAATGTTGCATAAGCTAGAAAATAAATTTCCCAGAAAGTTTCAACAAGGGTTATTGCAAAACAACTATGGGATTTATTGAAGGATGCTTTTTCTTAGGAAAAAAATAACTAATAAAATCTTGCCAGGAAAAGGGAAATGGCTGAGATATCCCAAACACACTCAGTTTAGAAGGGAATTTTATTTACTGCTAAAAAAACAAAGAAGGTAGTAAGGTAATACTAAGCTAGTAAGTATTTCAGTGTGTTCATGTGATATAATTCTGTTTGTGTTTGTAGCATGTGTTTGATGTATACAGATTAGTCAATATAAATAAAAGTTTGACTGACAGGTATTCGATTTCTTGAATGTATTTTTAAAGGAACTACAGCGTGGCTGTGCTATAATCTATGACAGATATCACAAAAGTCATAGATAGACTGGATCTTTCAAAAATGAGGTTCATGTGCCTACCTGTCCTGAATTCTGTGCTGTTTTTCTAAGACATCATAAATATTATCAATTCTTTGTGATTTTTTAAAATGTGTGCATGATCTTAGAATTCTCAATAGACTTGTTTACCATAAGAGGGAAATGTTTGCAGTTTTTGGACCATTTGAAAAATAAATTCCTATGTAAATTTCTTCCAAATACAATGCAAAACAGGAATCAATTTCCACTTTTCATAAGTGATTAAAACTGCCTGGTTTTACCTGAGTTGCTCCCTTCCACTGCAATAACTTCTATGGACTTATCCTTCTGTTTTCTCATTATGTCTATGTGTGACTCCAGACAATCATCAGTACAGTGATGGTGGTAATATAGGTCAGAGAAAAAATGCAGAAAAGTGGACAAATCACACAGAAACTTGTGGAAATTATTGGAGACAACTGAAATGTGGCCCCAGGACAGTATTCTCCTTAGCGTGACCATGACCCAAATGCAAAATAACAGCTCAAAGCCTCCCTTTTTCTAGCTACATATATGAACTTGAGTCTTAAAAATAAAAGAGTGTAATATTGAAAGTCAGGCCCTCTCTTTTAGACACCAACCATGTTGAATATTAAGATTCTAGATGGCTATCTATGTTTCTAGTCTTACCAATTATGATTCCAGAAACTGTTTTTGACTTTGGCTGGCTTGCTGATGTTCCCATTATTTTTATTTCCATTTTCATATATTATTCAAAACCCTACAAGTGATTGCTTGTTAGAGATTTTCAGTCATACCAGTATCAGTGTCCACAGATTTTAATACTTTGTTTTTATTTGAAAATTTCTATAGTTAAAAAAAACCATGTGACAAATCCTTCTTGGACTAAGGGTATTATCTTTTTTGTTTTGTGTAATTTTTCACCTAATGAAGTTTCTTGGAGTCCATTATAGATAACTGAATCTAATAAGCAAAATAATAGATGAATTTAAAATTACATTATGCATGTATTTCATAATGTATAGTATTTTTTTCTGAGTAAACAGGGAGATCTATCTTTTGAAAAAGGAAGGTGAGGGCTGGGGATTGAGCACCTGGCAAGTGTGAGGTCATAAATTTGATCCCTGTTACGAGAGAGAGAGAGAGAGAGAGAGAGAGAGAGAGAGAGAGAGAGAAAAGAGAGAGGGAGGGAGAAAGAAAGAAAGAAAGAAAGAAAGAAAGAAAGAAAGAAAGAAAGAAAATGAAAGAAAGAAAGAAAAAAGAAAGAAAGAAAGAAAGAAAGAAAGAAAGAAAGAAAGAAAGAAAGAAAAAGACCATGAATAGAACAAATGGAAGGAGAGGAGGAGAAAGGGGGGAAAAGGTGATTAGAAATCATTATTGATAGAGTATTCTGGCACAATAGAGAAACAAAAGTACAAAATGAACAGGTTTATTGATCTGAGGATGTAGTAAGGAGCACACAACCCATGGTGTCTGGGCCTTGCACCGCAATATGCGGTGTGGGATATAAATAACCTTCGATTGAGAGTAGTGCTTAGGGCAGGCACTGATGATATACGAGGAAACATTTGGAATTCTTTGTGCATGCAAACAGGAAGGGGAGCTGCAATTAAGGCTGAGGAAGAAGCAGGAAGTGGTAAGCATTCCCTTGGCCTTCCACTGCCTTATTGTCTTGTAATTTATTCTAGGGAAAAACTCTTTCAATTATGATGTATTATGTAGATGAAACAACTATCCATGATGAATATAATCATTGCATACTGCAAACATGTACTAATTCAAATAAAATAAACATTTTTAAAAGATAAAGGACATTTCTAGAATATACTGAAATATAAGCTGGTCCATGTTTTTATTATATTCTCCCTGCCTCATTAATAGAAAATTTTCATGTGTACCTGTGACAGATCATGGCATTCTTACTGAGATTTTCAAGATTTACTGAATTGTTTTAACAGAAATATTAACATTAAAAAATAATAGTGACACTGAAAAAGTGCAGAGGGAAATAAAAATAATCTTTCAAAATAGATAATGTTCAATAAACACTTACATTTACTGAATAGCACATATATCTTCTATCTACGAGGTTAAAAAAGAAAAAGGGAAGATTTATAGCCAGCATTTCAAAATGTACACTTACAAATACAAATATGTGTACATACAAATGTACACATACAAATCCACACACTTAAGCGCTCACTGTGTCTCTCCAAGGAATAAAGTTAGTAAAAGTACAGATAATGGAAAAGAAAATCAAAGTAAAATCACATTAACATATTCAAACCATAATGAAGTAACATTAACACATTCTCAACATAATGAATCACAGTCAGTAGTTCCATGACTGTCTCATCAGTAGGCGTGAGTCCCATTCAGTGTTACAAGCCTCCCAGTGGTACAGTCACCCATGAACAGCTGATTGAGAACATATTAATGAAAATATTCACCCCTTGATTTCTTATAGCAGTACATATGTTATTGATGACAAGTAAAACTACTATCAGCCTTCCCAAGCAACACATATGCTCTAACAATGTACTTGGTCCTTATGCCCTGAGACCATAATTTACTCTCAACCAAAGATGAAAAATCTCAAGCCATCTGAAAACAGAATACTGAGGCTTGCATATCAGCTAAGGAGGTACAAGAGCAGCCTAGTGGGCCTTAGTTGAATCCTTGTGTTTTGGCCAATGATGCAGTCACTGCCCAGGAGTCCTGTGTTGAGGGAGAGCTGAGGGACCTGCCTGAGCTCCCTTCCTCATTTCATTGGAGAAGGTGACTGGAGCAGGTTCTTCCCCAAGCAGATATGAGAATAAAAGATGTTTTGGAGATTTGTATGTCATTATCCCTGGAAAACCCAGCTGATTGCCTGCAACTGATCAGGCCATTGCCCATCTAAGGGAGTCACTGTTGATGTTACACAAATACTGCAGCACCTCAATGATTCTTTCCTCTTTCTGTTTGTAGGGCACCTGGGCTCACTCTATACGCTTTTTATCCTCACTAAAATTTAAGGGAGGTAGGTGACCTCTTGGCTCATGATTTTGTTCCCCATGAGGGGCCTTCATCCAAACACATGGAGGGAACCCATGACCCCCAATGTGCAATATGCGCAAGTGGGGTCTGGAGAGTTGATTGCAGGCCTCTGTGGGACGCATAGCAGAGTGCTCTGTTGGAACTGGGCTCCTGTTGGAGGGTCACAGCTCTGGGAGCTGACTGATGAGCTAGGACGTAAGGCTGAGTCAAATGGAGGACTGGAATCACCTCAAGCACCTCCACTGGAAACCATGTGTGTTTGTGTGATCCTGAGTTTCCCCTGTCTCTTTTTTGGTCTCCAGGACTTTGAGCACTGGTCCTCAAACACTGGGTCCTGTCTTTACCAGAGCACAAGGTGAAACACAGCTTTCACTTCTCATAGTGACACTTGTTCTTCAGCTCCTGGTGGAATTCTTCACATTCTGCCCAACCATCAGGCCCAATCTCTCCTCTCAGTCCCATGACCTGTTTCCTAGTTCCGGCTGAGGCTCTGCTACATTCCTGGCACAGGGATAGCTGGGCTGTGCACTGTACCCGGCCTCTCTCCTGTAGACTTGGGCTCTGAGGTCTCTCTTCACCCATCCAGGGCTTAGGCCTTGGGTTTGATTCTCTTCTCTCTCCTCTCATGTGCCCAGGACCCCTGAGCTGAGGAGAGATCCTGGCCCTCCAGGGTCGCTGTCAACTCAGGCCCATGTTATTCCACCCTGTCTGAACCACCTGCAAGACCCCAGCCCAGCTCCCTTGGGCACCCAGGCTGCTCTGTCCAGCTCGTGTTTGGCTCTCAGCTCGGATCTCGGTGCCTAAGCCTCTTCTTCCAGCTGCGGATCTCTAGGGGAGGCAGGGAAGCCTCAGAGCACAGGCTCCTCCGGACTACTCTGGGCTCCTCCCTGAGCCCTTGCCTGCTCAGCCCACCCAGCATATTGACCCCTCTAACCTTCCAGGCCCTGGCCTCAGCTTCCTCTGTGCCCTGGCTCCCGACTCTCCTGGGCGCCAGGTCTGCTTCTCTTCCAGGGTCCCTACCCATCCTTGGAGTCCAGCACTGTGGCCTCATGTTTCCAAATGCTCCATGGTTAGCAACCTTCCTGCTGAGCCTCTGTCTCCTCGTTTATTTCCTCCAGGCCTCAGGTCCATTCCTTCATCCTCAGGCCCAATAAGCCCTCTTGCTAGTCCCACAGGCCAGGCTCGGTTCCTCGGGATGCTTCGGCTCTCCTCGTTCCTCTTGGTAAGGCTACCATATCACTTGGGTTACTCTGGCATCCTAGGTCCTTTCCGCAGGGCTTCGATTCCACTCTGTTAGCCTTGAGTCCCTCCATATCTTTCTTGTCCGTCCCTGTCTCCTCGGTACTTTCCACTAGGTCTCAGGTCCATTCAGTCATTCTAGGGTACATTCTGCGGGCGACAACTATCCATCTGTATTTCCCACACACCAAGGGCCTGTCCCCGCCCTCTCTTTGCCTCCCTTTGTGCCCCCTGAGTCTTTGAGACTCTGGTTCCCTGAGCCCTCTCTGCTGCCCCGCATGGGTAGTGCTCCCGCTGCAGCAGAGTTCCCTGCAGTTCCTGCTCCTGGCTCTCAGTGCCGCTATCCTCACTCAACTGTGCACCTCAGGCTGCCTTGCAAATAACCAGGACCCAGGAAGACTAAGGAGAGAGGCTAAGAAGAAAGGTTCTTCCCCTGAGAATGGAAACAAGGCTTTGTCCTCCTGGGTGAACTCAGGAATTGCAGCCCGGTCTTTTCTGTGTCTATCTGTTCTCAGCATTTCCACATCACTCAGTTGATGTTTGGATTTTTCCTTTGCTAGGGAAGAGTCTTGGATTATAATTAAGTGTGCCATGCTACTATTTTGTTATTGTCTTTTGAATCTTTTTCTCTTGGCATTTCTAATGGTTTTTACATTTGTAAAATGAAATCCCAATGTTTTCATCACTTTCTGGCTAATAAATAATACCTTCTTTATTCTGATATTTTTACAGGCTCCCATAAGCTTGTCACTGTTGTAGTGCATGTATTACTGGCCATGGGGCAGCTTGGACC